CCGGATGGGTCTCCCCATACAGTACTCATCCTCGGCAAGGTCCAGCCACTTCTTCAGCTCAGCTATCTGCCTGCCCTTGGGGTCCAGGAAGAACATGCTGCTCACGCCAGCACTTGTGGCAGCTGCAGCGCTGACGACGTCCATGGGCTCAAAGAAGAACAAGTCCTCGTTCTGCAAGTCTTGTCGGAGCTGCAGCTTACAAGCTGGCAGGCCTGCACAAGGATAGCCCATCATGCCCACAAGGCGCATACACATTAAACAACCAGCCGCTGTCACACAGTTGCAATGCATGCAGGATCACAACGAAGGGGTGCAGAGCAGCAAAGTGACGAAGCAACTTCAAGCTGAATCAAGCCAGAAGTCACACCCCTCAGGCAGCAAGAGGGTGTATGTCATGCAGAACACTGAACCGCCCCTTTATGGTAGAGAAAGAGTGTGCTGTCACACAGGGCTGCACAATCGCAGGCCCAACAGGCTGGAACGTGTAACTGCCGAGTGTTATCACTATGCATGTTGCCCGCCTGCCGAGGGACAAGCCCTTCATGGACATGTTGGCGCTAGTGCTGTAAATGAGCGTTCTGGTGAAGTCCCCCCTCCCCCGCTCTCCATTTGTGGTGGCCTGCGGCCTGAGGGTTGGTTGCTGTCCAGGAATGTGAGACCTGACGAGGCTGAGAGTGGGAGCCTGACTGGTGCTTTTTGTACTGTAGGGCCCAACTCCGCCTAAACCCACCATCACAACACCTGGGGAGGGGTGATACGGAGGAGCGGGGAGGAAAGGGACAGCCGGCGCGGGCTTACACCTCACCCTGCACTCCCCCCCATCCCCTCCCTCACCCGCAACCCCTTATACTGCACACCCACCCTGCCAAAATGGCCTCCGCCGATTTTCCGGAGCCATGACGGATGGTCATCCACGCCTCCTCCTCCTCCGCCCGCTCATCCGGCATCGTCTCCCGCCCGCTGCGTCGTGTGGCGGGATCGGGCGGCGCGTCGGGAGATCTCGCGGGCCACACGGCCGCCCGTCCGGTGGCGGCGGTGGATTCGAAGTCGCTTCCCTCCGCCAGCTGCTCCTGATGTACACTGCGGGTACGAGGGAGGTCGCCGACGGCGGGGTGGTGGTGGCGGCCGTCGCTGTCGTCACCGGCAGTGGCAGTAGTGGTGGTGGCCGGCCGCCGCCAGGCCTCGGTCGGGGACAAGCCCAGCGGGGTGGCTGTTGGGCCCGGGGCTCGAAAGCTGGGTAGTAGCGCCTGCAGGAGGCGGGAAGGGTGAATCGGACTCGTAAACATGTAACAAACACAGAAGCACATATACACGCGGATTACGAGTGCAAAAGATACGGGAAACTCTGTGGACAAATGGATACGTAGAACCGGCAATTTTCATCGGGACCACGACCTCTTTCCCCACTTCTCAATGGTTTACATTGCATGGTCAAAGTCAAGCTCCCTGCCAAGTGAGGACTCGTGGCCGTGACGGCGGACCGAGGGCCAGGGAGCTGCTGCGCAAGGCCTTTGCTGAGCAGCTACGACGGAAAGATTCCTGTTTCGGAATATGGACCGCGCACCTGCGAATCACGGGCGCCTGCCGCAACTTTAAAGGCTTGACCGAGCGCGCGCCTCATCTTTCCTGATCGCTCGCTTCCTTAGGTTGTTCCCCGGCAGTAAAAGGCCAAGGGAAAGGACTTTGAAAAGAGAAACTGTGCCCGCGCCTTTCCCGTGCCGCGGTTGTATGCTGGAAAAAAAGCCTGAGGCGAGCTGGTATGGACAAACCCTTGCTCACTTGCACGGCGCTCACAAAGGATAGTCAAGTCCAAAGGAAAAAGTCTTCGCTATTGACAGTGAGACATAAATGTTTTGATACAGGATAGATGACAAGGTCTATAGGTCAAAGATGGGTTGTAAGCCTGTGTGTATGCGAAATGAGTCACCATCACGCCTGTACCCGCGTCGTACAGCAAATCCGAAAAGGCAGCCTCTGTAACAAAGCAAAGGCGTAACCCGGGATGCTCAGTTGGGCCTTGCGTCGTTACATTGCCCCCCCTTTAGCAATGGACGTCCGCGGCCATTATATCGAGCATTGGAGCCATCCCACCTCACGCATTGTGCGCTGGTTTATCCATTACCCATGATATCGCTTTCTGCGATACCTGCTTGTTGTCAGAATCGAACCACCGACCCGAAGATTTCATCGGAAGTCGTGCGGCTCCGTCTCGATACCATTGTAACAAAGCAAAGGCGTAACCCGGGATGCTCAGTTGGGCCTTGCGTCGTTACAGCCTCGCCGCTGCGAGATATAGCAGGAAATCGTGTTCAACGCTTTCGCTGCATTTGTTTCGGAATCCCAGATTCGCGAGACAAAAATGCATAATCGTAAATGAAAGTTCTTTGCAGGTCACCCGCATGAATCACCGCGCACACCAAACGCAATGATAACGGGGCGACCATCACACGAAGATAAACAGTCAACAAACAGCAAGACGACATTAAACGACACATACAACGCCGCCCCTCTCCTGTCCCCCGTGGGCTTGCCACAATTGGCTTTTAGCTCCAATTTCCACCGGACAAGCGAAATATCTTTGACCAGCACACGCGTCGTCAAAAAGCACTGCACAAAGCATCATTGTAATTCACCATCGTCACATAGTCATAGCATCCTGCGCTAGAGCCGTGACGAGGATTTCCCTCCCATCTGGTAGAAACTGCTCGCTTCTGAAGTATCTTATCGTCCAGTCACTGCTACCTTTAACTCCCCCTCCAAAGGCCACCGTAGAATCCCCCTGTACTCTGCCAATAACTGAAGCCTAAGCGCTCGTCCACCGTACACAGCCAAAGTAGCTGGGCGCACGTCAGCAACGAGGGCAGCAGCTAGAGTATGTACCACTGTTCCCCTTCCTGTGCCGCCCGCTTCACCGCCCCAGCCACCCGCGCCCTGCGCGCATTCTCCTCTCCTTCTCATCCCTACCGCCTAACTCTAGTTTCCCCCCCCCCGCCCAAACCACCCGGCGTGGAGCCGCCTGAAGTGACTGCGGGCGGTCCCACGAACGTATTATAGACGGGTCAAGGGGAAATCGCACACACAAACACCGTTAGGCATTATTGCCGCCTTAGCGCCGACATACACATCTTCCTCCCAAGGGTGGGGGCATAATCCAACATAGACTGGAGTTAAGCTGAACGTCTTCTCTTGGCGTGTGCCCGGCGTCAT